GGCGCAGCTGCGAGCAGTCGTTGCACGCGCTGCCTCTGGGATATCTCGAGGCCGCTCTAGGACCCTGGAAGTTTCTTCTATGCTCTGATCCCACCCTCGATCCCGCTTACCAAGCCAACCTCCTCCCCCTCCAGTCCTGGGTCCAGGCCTGGCGTGAGCAGTGGCTCCCGAAGGGCCTTCGTTCGAAACTTTTCGGGGCCTGCCAGAGGACTCCTGGTTCGGGGTGGAACCAGGCGGGTGTTCTACACCCGCAAGATGCGCGGTTGTCTGGAAGCGATTGTCTGGAAGGACCCCAGGGGAACTACCTTCGACTACGACCTCCTTGAGACGAAATTGCTCAGGTCTTTGGCCCGGGCAGGTTCCAAGCTCGCGCTGTTGCAGGGTCTGGACGGCCTCTTCGCGCACGGCAGCGCCCTGAAGGGCGCGCCGAGGCTCGACGCCATCATCAGCGTGCCCAAACGCCTACGCAGAGCGCGCCAATAGGAGGAGAGGGCTTTCTTGGCAGGCACAGCTTCAGGAAGCTACCCGACACAGCGCACGTTGTACATGGACCGTCGCTCTGCCAATCTGAGTTGCAAGCTCTGTGGTGATATGGGGACCCCTAAGCATCGGCTCATGGGCTGTCCTGCTACGTGGTGGGTTCGCCGTGAGATCGACCTGCCAGAAGCTATCACCGACATCGAGCAAGGAGATCCTTATGACTTGGCTACGACCCGAGCCCTCGTCCCCAGCCAGCATTCCAAGCTCCTCCCTCCCGTTCGGACTTTGCTCTCACCTGGTGTGTGTGTTCCCACCGATGGGATGTGTTAGCGGTTCTGTTGTTATCGATGGGTCTTCCCCCAGGCATGGGGATCTTGCGCTAGAGCGTGCGGGCTGGGGTGTGGTCATGGTTGACCGTCACGGGGGGTATGTCGGGGTCTTGTATGGGCCCTTGCCCCACGTGTCCAGCAGGCAGGATGTGCTGAAGTATCCGATTTGTAAACGTTGCTCTGCCAAGTTGGAGTCGCAGCGGTCACCGTTGCTTGTGACTGCCAGATTGTAGTCGACATCTGGGAGAAAGGAGCTCAGCAGAATCCCGACACTTTGGCATATGCCGAGCTCTGGAGACGCCTGTTTGCCAAGCACTCTGACTTGTCCTGTGCAGTCACGCGACTTAAAAATCCGCAGCCACCAGACCTGGGCCAAGGCTTACAGCCAAGGCAAGTCATGGTGGGCATGGCGAGGCAATCGAGAAACAGACCGAGTGGCCAAGCTCGGCGCGATGCAGCAACCCGTCCCGCCTGATGTACAATCTGAACTCAAGGCCCAGGAGTTCCTAGTGCGGGGTCGGGCCGTTTTGCTGGCGCGTGTCGGGTGAACTTTACCCAGGATTACTTGTGCTGGCGCGGACCAGCTGCGGGCCAAACGACTCAAGGCCCCTGAGGAGCTACAATTGGTGCCCGAGCCGAACGGCAATCATATGAGACAGATGGGCAACAGATCTGCCTGCAGAGTTTGTGGCGTCAGAGATTGGTCTCGTGGTGCAATCTGTGAGTTTCCATGTGCTGGGCTCCCGCGTGCTGCTAGACAAGCTCACCCCTCGAATCGAATCTGATGTGGCGGCGAAGGTGACAGAATATGGTGCAGTGTATGTTGGGCGTTCGGCACGAAAAAGGGTCAAACTTTTAGCTGAGAGGTGCCATAACGGCCCCCAGAACAAAGGTGCGAACCAATCCCTGACGATGCTGAAGAGCGGGATCGACCCAAACTCCAAAATTCGGTTTGGGAGGTCCAGTCCGCTCCACCGCTGGCCCCGTGCTGCACCATTTCCAACCCCTTTTTGCGCCATGTGTTGCGTCAGCGGGACGTGGTGCACCAAAGACCAAAAAAAACCGAGAGGAGAAGGAGGAGGAGGAGGAGGAGGAGGTGGAGGAGGAGGAGGAGGAGGAAGGGGAGAGGAGGAGGAGGAGGGAGGAGGAGAAGAGGAGAACAAGAAGAAAAAGGCGGAGGAGGATGGGGGGGAGAAGGAGGGGAGGAGGGGAGGAGGAGGGAGGAGGGAGGAGGAGGAGGAGGAGGAGGAGGAGGGAGGGAGGAGGAGAGGAGGAGGAGGAGGAGGAGGAGGAGGAGGAGGAGGAGGAGGAGGAGGAGGAGGAGGAGGAGGAGGAGGAGGAGGGGGAGGAGGAGGAGGAGGAGGAGGAGGAGGAAGGAGGAGGAGGAGGAGGAGGGGAGGAGAGGGAGGAGGAGGAGGAGGAGGGGAAAAGAAGAGGAGAAGGAGGCGGAGGAAGAGGAGGAGGAGGAGGAGGAGGAGGAGGCGGAGGACGAGGAGGACAGTGAGGACAGCGCCGAGAGCGTGCAGGTGAATCACGAACACGCCTCGAAAAAAGAACGAGAGAGGGCCCTCATCCAACAAGGGGCGCTCTCCGCGCCGTGCGCGGGGCAGGGGAGCAACGGTGCGAGGGTCACTAACGGCGCAACGCCGGGCAGTCCCCACTCGCACCGCGCCCCCCGCCCGCACCCGCCCACTATTCAGGTGCCTCGGGCTCGGGCGCCTGCTGAGCATCGCAGGCACCCCGAGCTCCGAGAAAACAAGCGGCTCGAGGGGCTCGCCCGCCTTGGGATGCAGGCCCCTTCGAGCCAGCTCGAGCATCGACGCGATGGAGGCCAAGACAGCCCGCTGCACTTAAGGGGCCCTTAAGTGCAGCGGATCTGCTCCTTCCGTGCGCGGGGCTGGGGAGCAACGGTGCGAGGGTCACTAACGGCGCAACGCCGGGCAGTCCCCACTCGCACCGCGCCCCCCGCCAGCACATCCGCCCACTAGTCAGGTGCCTCGGGCTCGGGCGCCTGCTGCGGCATCGCAGGCACCCCGAGCTCCGAGAAGACGAGCGGCTCGAGGGGCTCGCCCGTCTTGGGATGCAGGCCCCTTCGAGCCAGCTCGAGCATCGACGCGATAGCTCCGTCCCCCCCACTCCCAGCTCCCGCCGACCCCGTCCCAGCCCTCTTGCACGCTCGAGACAGGCCGACCGACAGCCGATTGGGGCGCACAGCGTGCGCCCCGCACTTAACACAGATCAAAACTCGATCCAAGGCCTGGACCTGGTGTCCTGGCCCGACCTCCTGGGGGTCGCATGCACGGGAGGCCAGAGACTTCAACGACGAGGCCGTCGCTGCAAGCCTCCAGCAGGCTCGACATCGAATAGCTCCCCCAGCGAAGACCACAAAGTCGTGATCGGTCGGCCGCCGCGGACGGCGGGGCCGAAAGACAGCCTTCGGAGGCGCACGGAGTATCGGGGTGGAGAGGCGGGCCACGCGCTCGGCAGCCCAGGCCAGACAACGCATCGTGTCCTGGGCCCGAAGCAGAGAAAATTTGTGAGCCTTGACCACGGAGGTGGATCCAAGGAAATCAGCCGCTGCCACGCGGGCGAAAACATCAGCCCACATATTACCGAAAAAATGCTCCAGGGGCTCCTGGGAGGCCAGGCAGGCCTCAAACCCCTCGAGGACGGTCCGATGGGCCTTCGTCCAAACAAACACGGGCCTGACAGGGTCGCCTCTATACAGCTCGTGGATGCTCCGCCAGATGGACGCGTGAGGCGCTCTGGCAGAAGCATGACGACCCTCCCAGGCCATTCCCTCGACCTGCAGCTGTAAATGATCAGTCACGTACGTGGCTGGCCTCTGGGCCCTCTGCAGGGCCTTGAGACCAGCAACGCGCTCGGCCCTGGGCACCGTCTGGATAGGGCCCCCCAGGCTCCCGAACAAAGCTTTGTATGGCCACAGGTCTCGGGTCAATGCTACGACGGCCCAGCCACAGCGCCGTTCCTCAGGGAAATCACTTTCAAGACAGGACCCGTCCCCGTACAACTTCGACGGCCACGGCATGTCGATCGCCCCCCACTCGCGCTCAGCCTGAGCACGTGCAGGCAGCGGCCTGAAAGCAGGCCTCAGGGGCAGCGCGTAGAGCACGTCGACGGCCGAGAAGTCCTGCACCTGGCCCCCGTCGCGCCACGGGGCTGCCTCCAGGATGTCCTTCCTCCTCTTGGCCACCTCCTCGGGGTACGGCTCCGTCTCCTCGTCCTCCTGCTGCTGATGCAATACCTTGCAGCCGAAGATCTCATGCTCGAGGTCGCAGCAGGCCTCCCCGCAGAACTCGCACGAACCGTCGCCGCCGTAGCCAGCCTGCATGCGGCGCTGCGGCGACCAGAACCCGTTGGACTGCAGCTTGGCCAGAGCCCCTCTGTGGCCAGGCGCCAAGGAGGCGTGTCCCAGTCGAAGCGCACGAAGCCACACATGCTGCTGCCGCCTGCCGTCACCATCGGCTGGGGGCGCCTCAGGCAGCTGGTCGAGGATACGATGGCTCTGCCAACGGTCGAGGCTGCGACGCAGGAAAAACAGCACCTCACTGGGACAATACTGCAGCAAACTGATATGCAGGCCCTCATCGTCAACCAAGATTGTAGAACTTGCCATGTTCCAGACGGGGGAAGGAGGGGGAGGGGGGAGGAGGAGGAGGAGGAGGAGGAGGAGGAGGGGAGGAGGGGAGGACGAGAGGAGGAGGAGGAGGAGGAGGAGAGGAGGACGAGGAGGATGAGGAGGAGGAGGAGAAGGGGGAGAAGAAGAGAGGAGAGGAGAAGGAGGAGGGGGAGGAAATGGAGAAGGAGAAGGAGGAGGAGGATGAGGAGGAGGAGGCGGAGAAGCAGGAGGAGGAGGAGGAGGAGGAGGAGGAGGAGGAGGAGGAGGGGGAGGAAGAGGAGGAAGACAAGGAGAGGAAGGGAAGAGGAGGAGGAGGAGGAGGAGGAGGAGGAGGAGGAGGAGAAGGAACAGAGGAAGAAAAGGAGGAGGAGGAGGAGGAGGAGGAGGAGGGGGAGGAAGAGTGGAGGAGGAGGAGGAGGAGGAGGAGAGGAGGAGAAGAAGGAGGAGGAGGAGGAGGAGAAAAGGGGAGGAGGAGGAGGAGGAGGAGGAGAAGGAGGAGGAGGAGGAGGAGGAGAGAAGAAAAAGGAGGAGGAGGAGGAAAAGAGGAGGGCGGTCCTCTGGGCCGTCCCACGACTGCAGGTAGCCCTTCAGCAGCTGCTGCGGTCCCCACGACTCGGGCGACCCGCCCTGACGGTAGGCCTCGGTGCTACTGCCGGGGGCCATCGCGGGCTGGGAACGGGGCGCGAGGCACACACCGGGGCGTCGGGTCGGCCACGGGGCTCGGTGAATATTCGGTGGCAACACACTGGGGCCGCCCATACCATCTTGTCGGCTCTTGCGAATCGACGCGAGTCTACGCCAACCGACGCCAAATCGACGCTAACCGACGCTAGCCGACGCTAAATCGGCGCTATCTCGTCGACTCCCAGACGCTAATCGACTCTAATCGACGCTAAAGACGGAAGTCAGAGTGTATACCAAACTCCCATGATTTGCTACAGAATGAACGGACGCCCTGGCTGCAAGAAGAAGCCAGGACTGGCCCAACATCGGACCCAGCCACACCGGGGATCTCTGAAGTCCGGCGGTTCTGGAGGATGTACAGGGGCGGCGCAGCCGTGCCAGACCGCTGCAGGAACGCTCCGAGAGTGCTCGGAAAGCTCCTGGAAGGTTTAGCCTGGTCCTGGGCCCGCCCGAAGCTCCCCAGCCCAGGGGACGCTGGAGCGCACACACCCCGAACTTCCTAGCCGAGCTCCTTGTCTCCCTGGCCGACCACAGAGCTCTGACGTTGCGGAAACGCTGCGGCGTCGGGAAGCATCACGACTGGAGCCGTGAACCCCACTTTCCAGCCCCATGTTTCGAGCAGAATCGCCAATTATGAAAGATCGCCAATATCAAAAAATGAATCAGCGTCGATGTTGGTCAAAGCCAATTCGTGGGTCCTCCTCGCGAATCAGCGACGGCCGACATGGACCATGGTCAAGATCGGTGTCGACAAGATCCCGTGACATTTCGATTAACTGTGGTCCCGGTGTTTCTTTCCCCCAGGCATCCTGGATGTGGCCGGAGGATCACGCCACATGGCCGATGCATCGCCTATGCATCGCCAATGCATCGCTGATGCTTGGTCGATGTATCGCCGTCGTCGGGGCGCCATCGGCGTGGAGAACATCGCGCTCCACATCGCATTGCACTGCATCGCCGATGCACCGGCGATGCGGCACGATCCTCCGAGCCCAGTTGCTCGGACACCGTCTGGGAGGCCAACGCCCCCCCCCCCCAAGGCCTGACCCGAACCCCACCACCTTGGAAGCCCTCGACCCCCCTCGTGACTGACGGCGAAGCCCAGTGGGAAGTGAGAAGGGGCGGGTCTTCTCAGAAGGCTCGGCAGGCCTTGGGCCTTCGGAGAAGTCTTCGAAGCCTCCCCCAGGGACACGGGACGCTTTTCTCAACAGTCCGGAGGGCCAGCATCCCGAGGCTGGCAAACCGCCGAAAACCGACGAAAACACCCGAAAACGGCCCATCTCCCCAGACCCCCGACGTCATGTTTTTTCCGTGACGTCGACCCCCAAACGGTCTCGACCCACTCCATCGGACCGCTTCTTCATCCTGAGTCGTTGCTCGCGGCCCTGAGGCCCAAAGGGGGCCCCCAGGGGCCGAAAACAGCGAAAAGCCTCCCGTGGCGATCTCCTCCATGACTCGAGGGGGTCTGGGCCCCCATCCATGGCCGACCAAAAGCGGCGTGGTGTCTACGTCGAGCCCCGCGCGGCGCGACGCGCCGCCGCCACGGCCGCGGGCGCCGGCCCCGCGCAGGACCGCTCGGGCACCGCGGCGGCGCGCCGAAGCCCTGGCACGATCTGTGGGCGTCCGATCGGAACGAGGACGGGGAGGAGGAGGAGGAGGAGGAAAGGGAGGAGGAGGAGGAGGCGGAGGAGGAGAAGGTGGAATGAATGAATGAATGCCCTGACGGGGAGAGCGCACAGCACTAAGGAGGAGGAGGAGGAGGAGGAGGAGGAGGAGGAGGAGAAGAAGGAGCAGGAGGAGGAGCAGGCGAAGGGGGGAGGGGGAGGGGGAAAAAAGGAGGAGGAGAAAGCAGGAGTAGAGGAGGGAGGGGGAGGAAGCGGGGAAGGAGGAGGAGGAGGAAGAAGAGGAGGAGGAGGGAATGGGGGAGGAAGGAGGAGGAGGGGAGAGGAGGGGAGGAGGAGGGGAGGAAGAAGCGCGGCCGGGGACGAGGAGGAGGAGGAGGAGGGGGAGGAGGGGAGGAGGACGAGGAGGAGGATCAGGAGGCGGAGGAGGAGGAAAAGGAGGAGGACGACGAGGAGGAGGAGGAGGAGGCGAGGAGGAGGAGAGAGGAGAAGGAGGAGGAGAGGAGGAAGGAGGAGGAGGAGGAGGAGGTAGGAGGAAGAGGCGGAGGAGGGCGGAGGAGGAGGCGGAAGAGGAGGGGGAGAGGAGAAGGAGGAGATGGGAGGAGGAGCGACAGACGAGGAGGAAGAGGAGGAGGAGGAGGAGGAGGAAGAGGAGGAGGAGGAGGAGGAGGAGGAGGAGGAGGAGGAGAAGTGGAGAGGAGGAGGAGGAGAGGAGGAGGAGGAGGAGGAGGAGGAGGAGGAGGAGGAGGAGGAGGAGAGGAGGAGAAGAGGAGGAGGAGGAGGAGGATGAGGAGGAGGAGGAGGAGGAGGAGGAGGAGGAGGAGGAGGAGGAGGAGGAGAAGGAGGAGGGAGGAGGAGGAGGGGGGGAGGAAGACGAGGAGGAGGAGGAGGAGGAGGAGGAGGGAGGAAGGAGGGGGAGGGGGCGGGGGAGGGGGAGGAGGAGGAAGGGAGGAGGGGACCGCTCCTGTCCTCCCTCCTCCTCCCCACCTCCCCTCTCCATCCTTCCCTCCCCAGGCGGGCAGCGTGGTAGGCCCCGCCCAAGCGGTGCGGGGCGTGCGCGGGACCTCGAGGCGGTGCCCGACCGACCCGACCTCCAGCCGCCCCTGCCCGGCAAGGACCGAGTCGACATACCGGATCGAAGCGAAACCTCCTCGGGAAGCAGAGAGCCCCAAGATCTTTCGGGCGGGTGGCAATTCAATGGGGGGTGACCTCCATGGGGGCGAAGAAGAAAGGCCCGAAAGGGGCCCTGTGGGGCCCTCTTCCTCACCCCCCACTTTCGGGTCCCCCCCCCCCCCCCTTGAGCGCCCGCCCAACGCAGGCGGCGCCCCGCCCCCGTGGCCCCCTCCCGTGGCAGGCCGCTTCCCGCGGGGCGGGGCCGTCCCCGCCGCCCGCAGGCGCCGCGGCCACCGAGCCACCGCAGGTGGCGCCCGCGCTGGACGCCACCGAGAGGCCTCGCGGGCGGCGGGGGCGCGGCGGCCCCTTTGTCCTCTCCCTCCTCCTCTTCCTCCTCCTCCTCCTCCTCCTCCCTCCTTCCTCTCCTCCTCCTCTCCTCCCCCCTCCTCTCCTCCCTCCTCCTCCTCCTCCTCATCCTCCCCCTCCTCCCCCCTCCTCCTCCTCCTCTCCTCATCCTTCTCCTCCTCTTCCTCCTCCTCCTCCCTCCTCCTGCTCCCTCCTGATCTTCCTCCCCCTCCTCCCCCTCCCCCCCCTCCCCCTTCCCCCTCCTCCTCCTCCTCCTCCTCCTCCTCCTCCTCCTCCTCCTCCTCCTCTTCCTCCTTTTCCCCCTTAATCCTCCTTCTTCTCCTCCTCCTCCCCATCGGGGGCCTGCCGCGAGGTTCGCGAGGATCGAGAGGAGGAGGATCAGGAGAGAGTGCCCGGCTGTGACCAAAGAGAGACAGGAGGGGGTCGCCAGGAAGCAAGCTTAAAATTGCCGAGGAGGCGATCGCAGCGGATCGGACTGCCCAAATATCCAAGGATCCGACTCGAAGCATTCAGGGATCGAAGACAAAGAGCCGAGCTGCTGCCCTGCGCTCCTGGGCCTCCACGAAAAGCTCCTCGTGGCCAGGTCTGGGGCCTCCTCGAAACTCCAGGCAAAGCGCACTTCTAGGAGGAGAGGTCCGGGGATCGGTCCACACCCCGGCGCTCCTCCTCGATCTCGGCACCAGGGGCCCGCTATCGGGCCGCGGGGGAAGGGGGGGGGGCAGAAAATGATCCTGGGAGAAAGCTATCCCAGGGGAAGTGGCATCTTAGGGCGACGACATCGACCTATTTATCTATATACCTATACGACCGCCCTGCGGACGATAAGAAGGTTTGGGGAGGATTGAGATCAAATGCCCACCCTGACTGACCTCCAGCCTGTCACCTTGATATCATATCTCTCTTTCGCTCTGTCTCTCTCTTTCTCTCTCTCTCTCTATGTCTATATCTCTCTCTCTCTCGCCCTCTCTCTCCCCCTCTATCAGAGTCTCCCTCCACCACGATGATGATCGCGATGACGATGGCATTCGATAAGAAAGCCCGCCGCAGGCGCCGACAAAAATGAATTGATGGATTGGGTTAGGTGGATTGGATTGTATGGGATAAGATGGATTGGATAAGCTAAGATGGGTTGAATTGGAAGAAATGGATTGGATCATATCATGTGGATTGGATTGGTCCGCCGCAGGCGCAGAAACAAATGAATTGATGGATTGGGTTGGGTGGATTGGATTGGGTGGGATCAGATAAGATGGGACAAAATGGGTTGGATAAAATAAGATGGATCTGAGTGGACGAAACGGATGAGATAAGATAAGGTGGATTGGATAAGAAAACCTGCCGCAGGCGCCGAAACAAAAATGAATTATGAAATTAGCGACATGCGTTAGCGCCGGGACGCCAGGGACACCAGGGACACCCGGGACCCCGACCGGCCCAACTGGGACACCTCCTGGCCACCGGCGGACGAGAAATGGACTTTCGGTCCTACTGACACCCGGGACACCCGGGACACAACCTGGCCCAACTGGGACACCTCCCAGCCACCGGCGGACGGGACAGGACTTTCGCTCCTACTTCGGCCTAGCTACAGGAGGATCACGCGGAGCTTCGCCTCGCCCGCACGCACGACACGAACACGAAACCGAAACCGATTTCCCGATGGGGGGTCTCCGTTTCACTGCGATCTCCCCCCCCAACCTCTGATATACATTCAAATATATATATATATATATATATATATGTATGTATGTGTGCGTATGCGTAAATATTCGTCGGAGAAGACCGTGGCCAGTCCCAACTGATGGGAAGGGGCCTCAACTATGCACGGACAGACTGGAAAAAAAGTGAGAGGATGGGAGGAAGAGAGGGACGAGGAAAAGTACTGGATGCGTCCAAATGTCCACATGGCATGCCCAGACCAGATGGCCCGAAATTGTGAACATCAGATATATGCGTCGTCGTACTCAAAAGTCCATCAGGCCAGATCGCCAACGACCAGTTGAGCGGCACAGGCTGATCCAAGCCACAGCTGCAAGAACTCGCGGCATATTGCGTAACTTTGAAAGAAGCTGGCTGACAAAAACTGCGGCTCAAGAGCGTCGACGAAACATGCTGATACGCGGACTGCCTCAAGGGGCATTATCAGATCGCCTGCCAGTGCGACGGCGGAGTCCCCTGTCACCGCCCAAGCTCGGAAGGCCATTCGGCAATCTACCAAGACAGGCACGGCAAAGCACGACACTACAACGCCTGAGGAAAGAGAGAGAGGAGGAAGAGGAAGGAGGAGGAGGAGGAAGGAGAGAGCGGCAGGACTCTCAAATATAACATCGGCGGCGCACCGCGTCCGCCTGGGCCCGACGGGGAGCAGAATGGGAACCCTGCGGCTGACGCGACCGGCTGGGCGAGCAGCAATCAGCGGCGGGGCGCGCGTCACCTGTCACCCACAAAACGAATTCCTCCAGCATCTCCGCCTGGCGTTCCGCGGCCGCTGCAGGCCGGCGCAGAGTGTTCTGCGTGGGCCAGCGTAGCGGCGGCCCGCCTGGGGCGACCTAAAGCTTGCAAGCGGCGAGGGGTGAAGGGAGGAAAGGAGGGCGGAGTGAAGGAGGAGGGGGGGGAGCGCTCTCGCCAGGCGTCGCGCCGAACCAGCGTGCCCCAGACCGCCTGAAGAGAAGGAAAAATATCGTTCTCGCCGGGCGTCCCAGACCGCCTCAGCAGAAACATGCACTACGCAGTGCTGGAAGGGGGGGGGAAGGCAAACATGGAGCGCCGGAGGACAGAGGGGAGGAGAGCGAAGGTCCTATACACATTGCAAAGCGCCGTAGGGCTTCTGCAAACACTCATCCCAGTCCGACTGATACGCGATCCTCTCTGACAGACGCGTGGGCTGGCCGAACTGCTCCGCACAATCGGCGATGGCCTGCGAAGACTGCAGACTGATCCACGCCCGGGGTGTCCTGCAGTCGAAACTAATGGCGAAGGAGCTGCACCTCGGGGATACCCGATCGGATACCCTCAGCGTGCAAATGGCCACCAGCGTCTGCAGCAACCGAGCTCCGGACCTCCCCGCCGTCATCCGAGGCTTCATCCGCATTCCACGGGGCCACTTTGACCCCTTTGCGATGGGCAGCGCGACCTTTCTTGGACTTGGGGGCGCCGCGGTGCTTCCAGCGATGGTGGTGGCTTGATCGCTGTCCGACCACTGCCCGTCGCAAAGAAGTTCGAGGAGAAGCCGTTCGGCGCCCACCAGCAGGCGCTGGACTGACGGGCTACAGCGCCCCGCCGCGGGGCGCTGCGGAGCCCTTATTGAAGGGGTCTTGAGAGGAGGAGGAGGAGGAGGAGGAGGAGGAGGAGGAGGAGGAGGAGGAGGAGGAGGAGGAGGAAGGAGGAGGAGGGAGGAGGTGCAGGCGGCTGGCGTCCAGGAGCAACACGACCTCGAGGCTCGCGACCTTGGGCAGCTTGACGCCTCACCGTTGTC